CACGATGGTCCTTAGGATAAATCATTTGAATATGGATGAGGTTTTTTATCTCTCTCACTCTACCTTGAACACTATTTCTAAGCTTGCACGGTCACGTTCGAACGACCTTTGGCACTTTCGCTTGCTTTTCATTTTACAGGCCAGTCCATCTGCAATAAGTTCACCCAAAAAATGTACCAGCCAAAAATATCAAATGGTCCTTATGGCTATTGTGGTTGGTACCGAGGTGGTTTTACTCGCAATCACTATGCATCTATGGCCACCCAAGGTCAAATTGGTACTTGCCGGTAAACCGGCAGACGAGGGATTCCGGGTGGAAGAAAGTGAATATCAGGTGATTGTGCAAATCGGCATCGATGAGAATCGCCTCGTCTGTTTCGAATCGCTCAGTGTGACCATGTTCACTGGTTTGCTCATTCCCGTATTCCTGATGATTGTGACCATGGTCCACGCGTATAAAATTCGTAAAGTTCCAACCGGATTCAACGAGGCTCGAGCGCTCGGGTTTGTGAACTATGTGAACGCAATCTTGTTCATCATGATCCCGCTGATGATGCACATGATCCCGTTGCACACAATCGAAATGATCCCGCTCAGCGCGTTACTCATAGTCACTGCGACCAATCAGCTGTGTGTGCTCATTCTGCCCAAAGTAAGTGGGAATCGGATCACTCATGTTTTGCACTGGAAGGGATTTGGAAGCACTGACTTTGTTGTTGTGTTTTAGGAAGTCCGTTTCGCTACACGTTGTCAGTTTTTCTTGGGCACGTGGTATAACTTGTCGCGAGTAGCCACTTGTTTTCAGCACATTTTGGTTTGGAAACTGATTTGTATTGTGCGAATTCTCGACAGTTTTGGTCCACTGTATCAATAATTTGACTTGTAAACGATCAATTGATGTCACCTGCTGACATCAGTCACGCACCTCCGTGAATGTTGTCCTTTCGATAGGTCATTCAGAAGTACATTCTGATTTCATTCCAAGAACAAAACAAAATACATTTCTATTGAAAAGTAAAACTCGAGGCATCGGTTAAATCTGGTGGATCACGTTTCAGCAGATTACGGTAGTAAGTATCATAAATAACGCATTCAATTGAACTAGTGTTTCGAATTGTGGTAACTACAGTAACTTCAATGGGATATGAACCCACACATGGACACCGTCTACGCGATATGACCTCGTAGCTCAGCTGATGAAGCCTGAGCTGTAAGAAAGCGTCCACTCGTGTTCGAGTACCACTGAGACTATTGAACTTATCACATTTCAAAACATAACAGAGTTATTTCAAATTTCGTTAGTTAACATTTCCGTTTTGTTTTCCTTTTGACCTCAGGTTATGCAAACTGTATCAGTCGGTGAAGGTTGATTCACACCAATGTGATATTTTTAATTCAGACATGACTAAAAGCTCAAGCTATGAAAATAAATGTTCTCGTATATTGTTACCGGCCCCAAGTGCACACCTACCTCCGTATGAAAAATGACTACGAAAATCTGGCAAGCAGCAGCTATGCTCGGCGCTACAGACTGTTGGTTCAAACTCATGTTCGGTGACGGACAGCTACAAGCGTTTTGAACACACCATTCTAAATTGGGGAGGATTATCGGCAAAATCAATGCGCGTTATCGATTTTTAATAGGACTGGTGTTGTGAGATACTACTCACTTGTGAGTAGTCGATGACTTTCGGTGATTAAAAATAGAACAAGACCATCAAGGACCAAGTAATATATTTGAGAAGA